CTTTCATTTTCCCATGTTGGTTGTTTACCATTCTTATGCTGTGCGCTTTTTCCAATTTGTCCCTTCGCTTGTTTCACACCATTGTCATATTTTGCTTTCTACATCTTAATGCATTTTGATATGTTAATAAAAGCACAGCATTGCTATAGATCATGTGGGTCAGCTCATAAATTTAAGTGCAGGACCGGTTATGTGAATTTTGGTGTCTGCAGGAGACAGTTTTGGTTCTACATTACCAATGTGAACTCACGATTCCCATTAAATTCAGTTTTTCATTAAGAAAAGACAAAATTTTCGATTGTGATATAATAGGCTTGCTGTGTTAAGTAATGGCCATAGGAGCAAAAAGATATGTAAACTTGCAGTTATAGAATATTTTCCAAATTGAAATAACTTTAAGATTCATGCAATATATCCTACCCCTATAGGTGTTTAATCATATACCCCAGTTTCCTTTGTTTATGGATTTCCAAACCACATCCCCAAATTATATATATGCATCGAAATATAAAATCATGGTGTGTTTATTTTCCCACTCCTAAGTTTGTTCATGTGAGCTTTGGTTTCCACGAAATTTGCGGAAATGAATTCTCAATTATTGGTACAGGAAGTGGGGTCCTGTTTGTGGTACCTTTTTGGCAAATACAAAAGTCATATCTTCATAGTAATAGTCTTTTCAAACAAATTTTTGTTGTGTTACGCCATCTGTTGGTAAATTTAGGTACTCCATGTTGCAGTGTCCAAAAAAAAACTAGCGCGGTGTTTGTCAACCGCTGGTGTGAGCGGCTCGATATCGTAGAGGCAGTTGGTGTTATCTGTAATTATTGGGGAAGGCACAATAGATAACTGGTCGCGGTGCAAGGACAAGGGCCAAGAAGGCCAAACCCCTCCTTATACATCCAATTATTGGGGAGCTAGTAATTTTAAATGGACTGTTTTAGTGTATGGCTGCGCCATCTATTGGAAGACCTTTCTATTGTGTAGTATGGTATTTATTTGAGAAATAAATTATATATATTTATAAAAAAATGGTTTTGACTGTCCATATTTTCCTGCCCAGCAACCTTTGGAAAGTCATTCAGCTACAGTTCGATAAAGCGTCTGCCATCTGCTGGCAATTTTGAGAAGTATGGGTGTGCTGAAAAAGAATTTCGGCACAAAATTCTTGCCACGTTAGTAATTTTTGGCAAAAAAAACTGCCGCGGCTTGACGTTTATAGCTGGTAAGTTCCGCTGCCATCTACCCCTTCATCTCTGTAACTCTCAGCCTCTACCTTTGATGTCCTTTTGTAGCTGCTGCCTTCTGGATCTCGATGGATTCGAACTGCTGATGTCTGGATTAGTAGTCCGGTGTCTTGCCCACTAGACCACGAAGCTTTCATGTCAAATAAAATTTTGGAACTTCCTGATATAGTGTGCTACTTGGAAATTTAATAGAAAATAATTTTTGGTCAGATGTTGGTCTCGAACTACCACTGTCTGGATTATTAGTCCAGTGTCTTGTCCACCAGACCATCAGTCTCTTACGAAGTACAAAATTTCGGAACTTCATCATAAGTTGCGTTGCTAGGATATCTAGCCAAAAAATAGTTTTAAGTCCCTAGTGCTTATATGTGCCTCGAACTGCTCATGCACAGGGCTTCTACTCCAGCGTCTTAACCACTCGCCCACGAAGGTAGTACTTTTATAACTCTCTGGCCAGGACCCTGATAAATTGTGACGTTCTCGAGACAGACGCTTTCCCTTTCTCGCCGCCTCGACGATTACCCAAAATACGTACATTCGCCTCTCAGAAGTAACAACGCCATGGTAGCGGATACTGCAAGGAATTTCAAAATGGATGTCTGATCTTTGTCCAGTCCATTCTTATGGCAGTGTTTTTACAAATCTGACGTCAAAGTTTTCCTGCATGTCATTGCAAGCATAAGTGGCGTAAGTACAATACTTCTGCTACATAGGCTTGCAATGACCGGCTGAAATTGACATCCACTCTGTGAACACAGTGACATAATAAAATGTACTGGAAAAGAGGTCACATTAGACATACATTTTGAAATTATCTGCAGTTCTAACCATGGCAATGTTACATCTGACAGCACAATGACACCGCAATTTCATCAGTATGGATGTTAGTGGAGTCTGTGGGTCTCTCATGCGTTTCTTATTGCAGGAAGAAATGTCTGGAGGGTTACATAATGAACTTCTGGAGTTGTTTTAGCTACTACATTGGGAGCAGATCATAAGTCATACAAGGAAATAGCATGCAAGACATCTGTTGTGGAGGTCTTGGAGTTTTCGCTTCTGGTTCCACAGCAGTACTAAATTTGTATTTCTGTTACTATGTAAACCATGTACAAAATTCGGTCTTAATGGCCTTTCAAAAATTAGCTGGACAAATTTCATTTAGGTTTAGTCTGAAGTGAACCCATGAAGCTCAACTCAAACTTTAACAATTTTTTGAGAAACAGATATTATCAGGGGCGGTGCGTCATTAGGGGCTAAGCCCCACCTGATTGTTGTAGTATTGAATTTTCATATTCTATTCTGTTTATAGAGATCAAATTTATATCAAAATAATATTTCTCGTTATGATGTAATTAAGGAGACACGAAAATGCAGTAGTGATGTCTCTTGGCCATATCACAGCTTATTTGTACGGTTACAATAACGTAAGGGCTAGCTCGTCTCTAGCCCTTACTGTGTGTATCGTTAGCAGCCTTAAGTTCGGTGAAACTTTCAGGGATTCTAAGTATCGCATGCATCTTGAAATGTCACGCTTGGGGCTAGTTTTGACAAGCCCGCAATAAAAAAGAACACTACACACAAGGCTGAAAGAGACGGCTGGAGTGTGGATGTAATTGTGAACTTACCTCTATTCTTCCAGCCTTAAGTAACACGTTCTTTGTAAGAATAGACATAGAGTAGGTTTCAGACACCATTAACATTCCATCTTTCAGTTGTGTTTTGAGCAGTGGAGAAGATACAAGTTCGGGAATAAAGTAATTTTAGCATAGGCCTAAATTAAAGTTGTTTTTCAAGTATAATTTCCAAATTAGGTTTTAGGTTAATATTGTATTCGTATTAGAATTAGTGATTAATATGAATAAGATGGACGCCCTTCTGAAATCACCGTTCGCAACTTTGAGTTTAGAAGAGAAATTACAAGTAAAAACTCTTGGCGCGCATCAACCAACAGATTTCAAACTTAATCAGAACTGCAAGACTCGGAAAAGAATGTTTCCGTTATCTTGGTTTCACAAGAAGAAATGGCTGACTGTAAGTGAAGAAAAGAAATCAATTTTTTGTTTGGTGCGGAAACGGGTTGGACTGTGACAGATATAATTGACCTTAAACATTTGTCAGAAAGAGTTAGAAAACACGAAGCGTCACAAAGGCATATTGAAAATGATGTGTCTGTTTTTATCCACAAGTTCATTGTGACGCTGAATGGAAACCCTATAGCTATCATTTAATTGGGTGAAAATATTGACAGACATGTATTAAATGGGGTAATTAATTGTATAAAGTTTTGTGGAACGCATGAACTTCCTCTTCTGGGACATGAAGAGCGCGAGAGTTCTTACAATCGCGGGATATTTTTGGATCTCATGTCGGAACTAGCGGCTTTAGATAGCATTCTAAATGAACGTTTAAATAGTGCAACTGTATCAAAAAACACGTCGAAAACAATTCAAAACGAATTACTGGACTGTATATATGCGGTATACAAGGAAACGGTCAAACAAGAAATTCAAAATGCAAAATATGTAGCTGTCCAGGCAGATGAAACCTCTGACGTGTCATGCATGTCCCAATTAGTTATTCTGCTACAGTATGTCAATAGCAGTGGACCTGTTGAGAGATTCATTTCCTTTGTTCACATTCAGGACCGAACTTCAGAAGGTTTAGCATCAGTACTTAAACAAGAATTAGAACCATACAACCTTGAACAAAAACTAATTGCTCAATCCTATGATGGCGCTCCCGCGTTTTGTGGCGGGAACAGCGGGGTCCAGGTAAAGATAAGAGATACATTTCCTCATGCACATTTCATCCACTGTTACGCTCATCAGCTAAACTTAGTAACGAAGAAAGCATGTTCCTCTGTAAAATCAGTGAAATTGTTTTTTATCAATATATCAGGCTTTTCATCATTCTTCTCTGTTTCGCCCAAGCACTCGGACTTATTAAGAACTGTGTGTGGCTGGGCGATTCCGAAGACTGTAGAAACGAGCTGAACTTTCACACTAGAGCTGTAAATACAGCCTTCAGCAACAAGGATGCTCTACGTCAGTGTTTAGACATGATTCAAAATGAAGATGGTTGGGATGAAGTTACAATTCGAGAGTCCACAAGACTGGTTAATTTGTTGAATAATGGGGAATTCTTACATTTGTTGTCATTTTTTAATTCCGTTCTTTTACATGTAGACATTCTGTACAACACAATACAGAAATAGTCAGGAAATGCTCTAAATATTCGTACTGCAATTCAGCACTTCAGAACGTCCAACAAAACGTGCACAGAAAGATGTGAACACAAGCGCCGAAGCTAAAGAGGCGTGTGGCATAACAGTGAACCAGATGAAACAGCGTTTTGAAGAAGCGCATCACAGAAAATGTTTTTCATTACTTGAACCGCAATTATTTGCGGCACATGAAGTTGCCTTTCCTAGGAGGCTTGTGATCAGTGCTGTAAAATATTGTCCTATGCTCTCGAAAGATAAGATAGAAAGCGAACTTAGTGTCCTTTATAGGCATGACACATTTGCAAAAGTTAAGACTGTTCTTGCTCTTTGGACATTAATAAAAGAGAACAATCTGGAAGCCGCTCTGTCAGAAATACACAAACTGGTAGATATTGTACTTACAACTCCAATATCAACTGCCGAATCTGAGCGCTGTTTCAGCACTCTGAAAAGAGTTAAGACACATCTAAGGAACTCAATGGGTCAAGAATGTCTGAAGGCACTGGCTGTACTTAGTAATCATAAGGACATGATTGCAGAGGTTCCGGCATTCAACCAAAAAGTGATTGATTTATTTGCTTCCCAGATGAATAGACGAGCGCAATTCCTGTATAAATGAGGTAACTTTTAAAGCATTATTTTAATTAATGGCATGAATTGCAATGGAGCAATTTTCTAATACTGCTAAGTCAAAAATGTTTTCACATGTTTTAAAGTAGGAGTTTGTACTACAACTCGCATCACTACTACCCATTATTATTATTATTATATAACAACGTAAGAATGTATCACTGCCTCATATTAGCCCCACCGTCTATTTGAGCCATGAGCTGCCACTGGATATTATTAATATTAACTTTATTTGAAACATTCACTCATGGTTAATGTTTTAACAAAACAATGTTCTTTCTGGAGATTATCATCTTCCAAGGTATGAAGCCATGCAGTTCAGTTCACCGGTAACTGAGAAACCTCAAGACAGAGGCAGGGGGTTCCTGGCAACTATCAGCTTCCACAGACACCAAAAATACATGGTGTGACATCCCAGAAGACTACCATGAGATCCTTGAAGTCTGAAACAAGGAAAGGTCCATTTTCATTATGTACAGGCAGGTGCTGCCACCCCAGACTTGTTCACGGATATCTTGTAAATCAAACAATTTACACATAACCAGAATTAGACATCAGACTGGTTAAATAATATTGGGTACTTCTTAATTTATGTATCAATATATATACGTACTACCTTTGGCTGGTCATGGTAGCCAAGTAGTCTGAGGCATGTACTGTCTTCGCTAGTTCCGAAGCCGGGATCGTGGGTTCAAATCCCATACAAGGCATGGATGTTTGGTGTGTGTATGTGTTTATTCTGTGTTTGTGTTGTCCTATGTTTAGGTAGAGGCCTTGCGACGAGCTAATCACTCATCCAAAGAGTCCTACCATCTGTACAATGATCATGAAACTGAAAAATCAGGCCAGGACCCAAGGTGGCTGTAGAGCCACGACTTTTACCTTTAATGTGCAATTCATAGTAAGTTAACAAGGCACAGAGGTAACATTCATGTATTACAGTCAAATTTATCATTAGACAAAGGGGGTTCATTATATGAGTGTAAAACAGTTCAGAGGATAGTGGCAAGAAACCTTAATATATAATATGTTTATTCAGTTGATGAATTTTGTTTAATTACTGTCCAGATTTATAGCTAAGAGACACGGGGAATAGGATTAGGCAAGACATTACTTTTATACCTGTTGAGTGGAATTCTCATACCATGAGCTTATGACAATCATACTGTGTATGTTACTGCACAGGTATACATATAACTAGAAAGATGTAAATTGTTATGCATATCTTTTATTATACTATTTACAAATCACTCCCGCTATTGTATTCCTTGTGTTTGTATGTATATCACTCAATAGGAATGCTGTATAAAAGTAACAATGTCCCTTTGATTAACTAATTAAGCACTACGCAAATAATGCATACTGGGGAGAGAATGTATAGATCCACATTTTCTTGACCTCTGTACTAGTTGGAGGTGAGTGGTCAGCATATTGCCCCAGGGAAAGAAACACCGGTACCCACTGGATAGGAGGTTGGGTGGACCTCAGGGCCGGTGTGGTCAACGTGGAGAAAAGAAAATTCTTCACCCTACCGGGACTCAAACTTCAACCCCTTGGTCATCCATCCCATAGCTAGTTGCTATGCTGACTACGCTATCCGGGCTCCATGAATGCTATATATTTAACTATATTTTACATTGTTGTCTTGTGCTTTTCTTGTAACTGCCTTATTGTAAAGCGTGTTTTTGACAAGTTTTATATTCATTGCTGGGAAGTCAGCATATTAGAGTGGGTATAGTGACTGGCTACTGGCTGGATGACTGAGGGGTCAGAGTTGGAATCCCAGCAAGGTCAAGAATTTTCTCTTCTCCAAGTCGTCCAGTTAAGTCCACCCAACTTCCTGTCCAATGGGTACCAGAGGCTCTCGAGTGGCCTGGGCATGAAGGTGACCACTCACCTCCAATAAGTGCCAAGGTAAAGAAAATCTGGATCTATACCTTTTTTATACCTTTTATATTCAGCGCTGGCAAACACATTCGTGAAACACAACTGCGTGTATATACCAGCCAGGTTTTAGTCAAGACATCGGAGACCTGCACAGTGTAATATCAGTTTGGTGATCAAAGAGCATGGCAGTTTTCACATTTATATCTTCAATGAAATGCATGTCATAACATGATTTGGTATTACATATCTCGGATGATTGCTGAGAATAGTCCTGACAGGAATTTAGTATGCAATTCCCCCACCCATGTTCCTATCTCTTAGGGTACAGAATATATAACAATGTTATGAACAAGAAACAGTATTGACTTGAAAGGATTCTGACGATGGCATATACTGTACTTCTTCTGGTTTATTTTGGACTTCATCCATCATCTGGTATGTAAAAGACAAAAGACCGCAACGTTTCGGAGACTGGATCTCTCTCCATCTTCAGGTGGGTAGGGAATGATAAAACCTACTCAGTTGGGCCCGTTAGAAAGAGCTAGTCTCAGTCCAGTCCAGCCCAATCTGTCCTATTTCTACGGCAATAACCGCATTATTTGGGGCTCCTTCAGTCTTAGTAGAACTTCTTGCACATGGTACTCAAACATTTTTCTTTAAATTCTCTAAGATATCTGTAAGGTTGCATTGCCACAACATAGTAATGTAAATCACTACATCACCATTAAAAAGTTATTAAATTCTGGGAACCAAAATCACTGTACTGCAGATTTCAAATACACACTCTTCTTTCATAGGGTGTGATGTACCCTGAAAGATATTTTAGATGGACAATATGAGAATATACATTTTGATAAAATGTACATTTCCTTTTTAGTAACATTAGATTGAGACTGGCTGTGGGCTGGATAACCAAGGGGGTTGGAGTCTGTTTCCCAGTAGGGTCAAGAATTTTCTCTTTTCCACGTTGCCGAGACTGGTTCTGGGGCTCAACCAACCTCCTATCCAATGGGTACCATGGGCTCTTTCTCCGAGAATAAAGCTAATCACTCACCTGCAACTAGTGCCAAGGTCAAGAAAACATCTGCTCCCCCATATGTCCTCATGGCGTACATTTTACCTTTGCCTGCCACAGATCTTTGAGCAGGTTCTGCAGGAGGGACACACATTACTTGTGTCAAATTGCACTGTGCACATTCAGACTTGTAGAATACTCAACTGGTCAAAAGCATGTACCCATCACAATCTCTGTAATTCTGCCCCAATAAACCTTCCTAACAGTTGCTGTAAAGCAAGTTTATGTGTTATGTGCCTGTTGACCATACTTCCAAGACTCTGCCATTGCAAGTGGCCCTGTACAGGAGGAATGTGGTGCCTTGCAGGATGATTAACAACACTTTTTCATAGACACAGACTACGTAGCATGATGATAAATGATGAGTTGGGAAGGATCTGGAAGGAAGTGGTCATGGCCAAGTTAAGGTACTCTCACAACACCTGCCTGGACGGAGTTGGTACAGCCACAAAACACCGCTGTCATAATAGCAGGCATCCCAGAAACTGAACATCTCCTGTATACAAGTCTAGTGCTACCACAAGATCATGCTGTTCAGTGCATGAAGACTCAGGAGGAATATGTCAGATACATTCCATTCACTATCAAATGCAGATGAAGAGCCGTCACAGACATTCTGACAAATTTCTTTTGTACAGTCCCTTCTGTGTATAAAATGAAGATTTCTTAATATGGGAACGTTTCTGCTGCCTGAAGTTTCACAATTACGTAAAACAAATGTATTTTTCTACATGAAAGCTAACTTAAATTTACTGTATGTTTGGTTCTATGTTAAGCTATGACTCATTTAATAAGCTAATGGTGCTATTTCCACAGGTCATCACAATTCAAAATGCACAAGTTTGTATTCAGGGCAATCTGACTGCGACTTTAAAAAATATACAATATAACAAAGGCAAACTTAAGAGGATCACAGTTTTTGGAGAATAACATCATCATCATCATCATC